CCCTTTATTAATAGAATATAAATAGGCGAAGTAAGAAGCCCAAATATTTTACATGAGCAGGCTTAAGAGGTAATTGCTCCAACAAGTTTTTAAACCCTAATCATAAGGCGATATAGAATGATTTTTTAAATCAAGGCTTGTGAAAATCATCGCATGGTTTAACCTAAGTAATGCCAATGATTCACAAACCAAAAAATTCAACGTGCTAATACTACTATCGGCTTTCGGTATTTCGTTCCAAGTTAAATCATTTCTCGTTTTTGTTACGCTACGAGTTTACCCTTGTGGGCCTGTCTTGATAAGGTGGGAACCACCATTTTAGCGTCTCTCGAATTTTTGTTGGTTTCATTTACGTAATCACTTCTCTTTGTCAAAATGTTGTTTTCTTTTTCCTGGTCACTCTCGTTTTCTTTTTCATTCCCGTTGGATTTATTTTTGTTGTCATTTTCTTTTTCCTGGTTGCTACTTTTTTGTTCATTTTTGTTATCATCTTCATCATTGTTATTATTTTCATTACTATGGCCATGTTCATTTTTGTTGTCTTCTTCATTATCGTTATTATTTTCATTATTATGGCCAGATACTTCTTTATTTTATACTTCAGTTGCTTTCTGAATTGCACCTTCTTTAGAAACTGGAAATATTTCAGAAATATCTATTATCGGAAGATATTTTTCGATAATATCATTCATGAAAGAACTAGTCATATAATTTGCGATATTTGGGCTATCCATACCTAGATTCTCGACCAAAGAAGAAATATTGAGTTGATTATTTTTTAAAATCTGAAATGTCTCTAGATGTACAATCTCCACATTTTCTGCAAAACTTGGTTGCTCATTAGAAAAAATTGTATGGAGTATAATCATGTCAGTTGTTCCAGTAAGTTCACATTCATTTTCTACATCCATATTAGTGTCATCGATAGTAATTTTGGTTATTGCTTCTGAATTACTCATATTTTGATTTAGCCCAATCGGATTAGGTGAAGAACAGGCTTGAGATTCTGAAAAATTCGAAGCAGCAATTTTCCTTCGGAATTCGTTGGAGGGCGTCTGTGGTAGTCTAAATTCAAAAAGTTGGGATTCCAAAGTTGTCGTTACCTCCGCCAGCTTGATTTAAAGGGTTATTTTTTGTATCTTGAATAACTCATTTATTTTCAATTTTACACGGAAAATAGTTTTTACAAAAGTTATTTAAAATGAAATTTCCTACAATTCTGCTTTTTTTTTGTACGATCGATTTTTTTCGATTTATACCCGAAAAGAGGGGGTGAATTTTTGGTTATAGAATAACTCGTTTATTTTCAATTTTACGAGAAAAATTGTTATAAACAAAGTTGTTTAAAATTAAATTTCCTACAATTCTGCTTTTTTTTGTACGATCGATTTTTTTCGATTTATACCCGAAAAGAGGGGGTGAATTTTTGGTTATAGAATAACTCGTTTATTTTCAATTTTACGAGAAAAATTGTTATAAACAAAGTTGTTTAAAATTAAATTTCCTACAATTCTGCTTTTTTTTTGTACGATCGATTTTTTTCGATTTATACCCGAAAAGAGGGGGTGAATTTTTGGTTATAGAATAACTCGTTTATTTTCAATTTTACGAGAAAAATTGTTATAAACAAAGTTGTTTAAAATTAAATTTCCTACAATTCTGCTTTTTTTTTGTACGATCGATTTTTTTCGATTTATACCCGAAGAGAGGGGGTGAATTTTTGGTTATAGAATAACTCGTTTATTTTCAATTTTACGAGAAAAATTGTTATAAACAAATTTGTTTAAAATTAAATTTCCTACAATTCTGTTTTTTTTGTACGATCGATTTTTTTGTATTTATCCCTGAGAAGAGTGGGGGTGAACCTAAGTATTGTATTGTCACGTTTATTATTGACGTTGTACCATTATTTTTTCTGTTTGTTTTTTTTGCTGATTTTCAAAAATGTTATTTGGTACAATTATGATTCCGATTTTTTCTAAGAGTTTACCCCCACTCTTCTCAGGGATAAATACAAAAAAATCGAGCGTACAAAAAAAAACAGAATTGTAGGAAATTTAATTTTAAACAACTTTGTTTATAACAATTTTTCTCGTAAAATTGAAAATAAACGAGTTATTCTATAAAAATTAGTCATTCTATTTTAAATATTGCTGAAACTACTTTCTCATAGATTGTTCTCTTACTGTTGCTCGAGCTTTATTTATTCCCTTGGCTTCCCTAAGGGAAATATTAAAACAGAAATAATGCACAAATAAATTTTAAACATAAATGAATTAAAAAACCTCCTACTGTAGATTCCTCTCTTGAACCAAAGCCGCAAGACTTAAACGACAATCTAGGTCTCCTTCTTCTCTATTTAGGAACAGCACAAATTAAAACAAATTATTGGAATCATAATATCTGTGATATACCAAACCATAAAATACAGGGTGTCTCAAAAAAGTAGGACAATCCATTAACCATAGATTCCTTAGATCAGTTTAAGAAACCTCTAGTATTATTTTTTCCGATTGGAGCCATCATGTTCAATATACAGGGTGACAAAGTTAATTTGAAAAAATACGTGTTTCATTATATTTTCCTCGTTTTATTAAGTAGATTTCTTAAAATTGGTACACTTGGGTTTTTTGGCATGACAAATCATAATTTTAAACTAAATATCACCTACTACATAGAGGGCACTAGTTGCAAGGGGTTTATTACCTTTAACCCCCCTAACTTTTTTGTGCCCGATAATAGCGGTTACGTAATATCAATTTGTATTAGACAATTTCATCTTCCACAACATTAATTTATTGAGGAAATATGTCTGCAAAGGTTAAAATAAACTTCCAAAACTACTACAACTTTATTAAAATGCAATAACTTGATTTTTCGGCTAATGATGGTATTTGTTAGAGAATGTTCATTTTATGGCTTTTGTAACCTTATTTTTTATTGTCATGAAGGGAAATGCCTTTATTTTAGTGTGGATTACTTGACACGTTTTTACAATAAGCCCTTCAAATCTAAAACCGTCTAAGATTTTCTGTGTTTTTGCTTAGGCCAATATTGTGTTTTTGGACATTCTGGAGGTACTCCCGTTCGTTCGTGCCACAAAATTTACACATCGTGTGGAATAGGTTTTTTTCCCTGGGCTCGTCTGACTACGTGTCTCCGAATAACACTGAAGCCTATTGGCTTATTGTGTTTTACCCCATGTTAGTTCATAGCACCCACTCTATCACCTTTGTACCTTGTACAAGTTTGTACAGATCCTTGGGTGAGTGGGTTCTATACGTTGTTGGATCAACCTGAGGTTGTCCAAAAAGAGCCTGTCTTTTGCGATCTAGAGCTTCGCATTCGCACAGTATGTGTTTGGCGGTTTCTGGTTTCTTGTGACATAGTCGGCACATGAGTTTCCCATTGTACATGCCAATTTTGTTCAAGTGTCCCTTTACTGGGGCGTGCCCAGTCATGAACCCTGTTATCACTTTCAACTGGTTCCTATTCATTAAGAGTAGTTCTCCAGTTCTTTTGGGACATGATCTGCCTATGAAGGCTTTTCCATGTGTCTGTTTTGGGGTGTTTCCCCAATAGTTGATATGTTGTTCCCGAATCCAGTCGTTTATGAAACCCCAGACTGTACTTTTTGGTACTCCTGGGTTTGTGTCTAGTTCCGGTGTTTCTTCTGACCCTCTTTTTGCAAGTTCGTCAGCCTTTTCGTTGCCTTCGATCCCTTTGTGACCTGCCACCCAAAATAGTTTTACTCTATTTCGGTCTGCCAGTGTTCTTAGTTCTTCGATGCATTCCCATACCAGCCTCGACGTAACTTTCTGACTCGATATGGCCTTAAGTGCCGCTTGGCTGTCTGACATTATTTGAATATGCTGATTTTCGACAGCTCTTTCATTGTTCGTTTTTGCACATTGCAAAATTGCGTATACCTCGGCCTGAAATACCGAGGAATGTATTCCTATAGCATAGCTATGGTTAGTATCAGGGTTTTTGGAGAATACTCCTGCCCCTGTGCCTTCCGCAGTCTTAGACCCGTCTGTATACCAGGTTTGTTCCTATCGTTGGGCATTGGGCTCTCTTATGGTGATCTCCGCTCTTTCCTGTATTAAAACCTCAAAGGGAGTGGAATAGGTTACTTTTTACACTAGTAATTTTCCATTCCTTAATTAAAAAAGTGGTCATGAAAAAACGATGCGTTTATTAGTTTCTTGACAACAATGAAATGTGATGTCATTGTGTGTCAATAATGACGTAGATAAAATAAACGAAATAGTTGTTATACTCTTCACTTATACTCTTTACTTTTGACAAACCAAGTGTTTAATATTGATCCAAATTTAAAATTGTTTGTACCAAAATCCTCCTCATCAAATTTTAAACTATTAAAAATCAAGCTCTTATAAGGTGATGAATCCTATTGGTTCTGAAAAAATCTGAATAAAAATGGGGGTTGAAATATTAAAAAGATCCTAAAAATTCTAACTCAAAAACAAAAAATTATATCAACTTGAAATTTTTGGTAAAAATCAAGCTCTATAAGGGGACGAAACCGATTGATTTTGATAAAATCTGGATAAAAATGGGGGATTAAAAGAGGTTGAAACAGGAAATTTTAGTAAAAATCGATCTCTATGAGAGGATGAAGCCTATTGATTCTGAAAAAAAATCTGAATAAAAATGAGGGTTAAGGTAGGAGTTGAAATATTAAAAATAACTCAAAAACCAAAAAGGATATCAACTAGAAATCTTGTATTCAGAAAAATCTGATTTAAAATTGGGAGTTAAGGGGGCTCCGTTAAACTATAAAGAGTATAATATATAATGTTAAGCATTTTCTTCATTTTAGTGTATACTTGAAGATTATGCAAGTCTTTAAAACTTTATAAGAGCAAGAAAAAATTGAGGTAATATAAAATAGCTGGATTATTCCTTAACATTTTTTAACGTTTTGCGCGTTAGTTGAACTCTTTATTTTTATAAAAACTCCTTATATTACTTACCGCAAAATTATCTATTAATTGATCCCATAATTTGTTTGACAATTCCATTCTATAAATTGCCATTCCACTTGGGTTGAAAATTACCCATTTTGCATCTGGTATTTGAAGTTTAACTAAAATATTCGAAAATAAAAAAAAAACATCAATATCATATTAATTAAATAAATAAAACAAAAACGACTAAAAATTAAACTAATAATAATTAAAAAAACTGAAAAACTCTAATGTGGTCATGTTGACAGTGATTCCAAATCAATCCCACATAAAAATGTTATTAACATAAAGGTGTATGACAACTGGTTTCGGCCTTAGGCCTACAAATGAGAGAAGAAAAAAATGTTAAACAAATATACAAATAAACATTATAGTATTATATAATTAAAGAGTAAAAATGATAGATGTAAAAATTGCTAAGGCATCTCCATAAAATTATTAAAAACAAACATCATCGTGGCACAAGGAGATTACAAGATTTCCATGTGCGGGAAATTGAAAATTAACAAATATAACAAATTCTAATACAAGTAGATATTAGAAAAGTAATTTACAATAATTAAAAGGAAGGTACCATAAAGTCAATACGCACTCTTGTTGATTAAGTAATGTTGATCAAAATTGATGTTGACCGGGAGCGCGTGAAACTATAGATATATAACCAAGGGTGAAACATTTAGAGTTGTAGTGTCTGGAAACCCATCTCATACGACTGTGTCAGACCCATCCAATAGCGTCGCCAAGAGGTGCATGAAAACAAATGAAAATCGGATAAGAACATATGAGTTTTTTTACATTATTTTCACGTGTATTATATACTCCTAGAGTTTGGTGCGCTCCTCCCGACTCACCCTGTATTCCACATCCTGAGCCTTGTTTTGTTTTAGAACCGTCGGTGTAGATATGAATCGTACCTGCCACTTCCGGCTCTTCTATTTGTTCTATTATAACTTTATATGGCTTATGGAAGATATATCTCGGTGAGATGGAGTCCATGTTAGCTTGAAGCAGTGGTAGCGTGTCGAGCGCCTCCTGCCAAAAGCGACGTCTCGCCTCACCAGATCCTACATCAGGTTCTATTCCAACCGTGTGGAGGCGTGTCATTGTCGTCAGAGCAACCTCCTTGATGTAAATATCAAGGGGGGTGAGACTGAGAATGACTTCCATGGTCCTGGTCGGTGTTGTTTTCATGGCTCCTGTTACGTTGAGAGATGCTGTTCTTTGAATTTGTTCTAGTTTACGGATAGCTGTTAATTTTTGAGTTTTCGGTATCCAGACAACTGCACCGTATGCTAGCATAGGTCTTATGATAGCAGTGTAAGTCCATGCGATAACTCTGGGGAAGAAACCCCAGGTGCGTCCCACGGTTGGGCGGCATTGTTCATAAGCAATGTATGCTCTTTTAACTTTGTTTTCTAAATGCGGGTTCCATGTTAAATTGCTGTCAAAGGTGAAACCTAAGTACTTCACCTTTGTTGCAAAGTTTAGTTTTGTGTTTAGGAGTTCTGGAGGTTTTAATTCCATTTTCATCCTTTTCCTTGTGAAAAGGACCATTTCAGTCATCGGGCCTAGTAGGAGTAACTTTAGTTCATATAGGGATCATGATTATTATCACCAAATTAATCAAAAAAATCCAAAAAATTGTTTATCACTGGTGAAGACGGTGCAAAAACCACTTCATGAAATAAAATTATCAGCTACTATGTCGTAAGTGAACTGAACAAGATGCAATGACATGAGCATGCAATCTCCTTGCCTTACGATGGTGCTTGGTATTAACCATTTATGTTTAATAGAGACTTCTCAGCAATTGTTGCATCTATCATTTACTCTTTAAGTATGTAATGCTATAATGTTTATTTGTATAATTATTTAACAACTTTTCTTCTTTCACTTGTAGACCTAATGAAGGCCTAACGCCAAAACTGGTTGTCATAATATAACTTTATATAAATAATATTTTTATGTGGGATTGATTTTGAGCCATTGTCTTACCAAATAATTACCAAGCGAAATAATTCCAAACTCAAATGTGACCAAAATGTAAAACAATAAAAGACATGTGTCATAAAATAATACTAGCGACTGTACTCATTTGGCAACAGGTATTTGATTATATTCAACGAAAAACAGCAGAGACAACAGATTATTTTCAACAAAGTAACACTCTAGCTTTGATTTTAGTTACTTAAGAGAATGTCATTAGTTGACTGGTTTCGTCCTTATTAGGACTCATCAGTCATCCGCAAGTAATAGACATTATCGCTTCCCATCTGTAATGGAAGCTGTATCTTGATGTTGGTTGCGTGAAGCCAGAAAGTATCGCCATCTACACTTGGCAAGCAAAATCAAAAACCGTTTGTAGTAATCAGATATAGGTGGAAAAAGAAACAAGACTGGCAATTTTTAAAAAGGAAAATAATTAAGATACACTGAGGTGTTTTTACAAATAATAAGGTGAAAATGTAAAGTTAGGAAATCGAGAAATCGCAAATCGAAATCCAAAGTCAGAAACATTTTCACCTTATTATTTGTAAAAACATCTCAGTATACCTTTACCAAAAATTAGGTACGTATTTTTTACAAAATAAGTAATTTTGATTAAAAAAATGAAAATAGACAGAGTTGTTTTTACTTCCCCCTATTTCCCCTAAAATGCCTCGTCTGTCCGTCATCTCTTCTAAAAACCTGGAAACCCTGTGCGTGCACACAGCCATTAACCTCTTTTGGTCCCCTCAAATTAATTATTTTATTTATTTAAGTTCGCTCCTGATTTACTGCGGTTAAAATTGTTTATAACTTTATAATATTGATTTATGGTTTTATTCAAGTAGGAAAAGAAATCCTCGTAAAATATTCTACACCGATTCTGAGGAAATTCCGTTTCAACTATACAAATATTTTACTTTTGATAATATTTGTCTTTTGAGTCATAATAACTATTATTGCTATGACATTAAGTATATAAAATTTCCGGTATTTTCCTACTCGTTATAATTTTGTCATTTTTGATTACTTACCATTGTCCTCGACTTTGTCAAACCAAAACCTAGAAATATTTCCGGAATCCGTTAGATAAGTTACAGGAATTGACCATTTTTCTCTGAAAAGTACGGAAATATAATTTTAGAAAAACTATAATGAAAAGTAGTTTAATATTTGATACGATAATATTATAAGAGTTACACAGGGCGTTTGATTAAGAAACCGAAATAATTTAGCAGTGAATTTGTCTTGCATTTTTATAATCGAAATACAGGGTATTTTATCCATTTAGCTCATTTTCATTCTAGAGTCATAAGTAATGAACCGTCCAAACAAATGGCGTACTAGACACAAGAAAAATCCAGGTCCGGATTAACAAGAAATCAATAAATTGTTTTATCCTCAAAATAACACTATTTTGCACATTTCTTCAAATTTTTCCTAAATGAACCATTTTAGAGAAATCATGTATAGAACCAAAATTATAGAAAATGGCAGTACAGAATAATTAATAATAGGTATAAAATAGTAGTTTGTGCAACGAGAGTGGATATGATGGCCATATCACACGAAGACGAAGTTTGAGCACGACGCCGTGCGTATCGCGGCAATCCACTCGAGTTGTACACTATATTTTTTTCTACGACCCACTAACGAAAATCTAAAAATTATAAAAATTATTTTAGGCTATTAATATAAAATAACTAATTTAAAAATAATTTATGGCTCTTACTAATTTATAAACTAAAATAAACTTTAATTTAATTAGTCTCCAATCCTACAATTTAACTCGGGCTTATCGCATGACAGCCAAATGTCCTTGTCTCGACTCCATTGTCACACCTAAAATTTTAGTTTTAATACTCGTAATTAAATTGATTTAATACAGTTTTATTAAAATTGATGGTTTATTTCTAAATATAGCCAATATAAAAATAGAAATGCTATTATTTATCGATTCTGCACAAGAATAACTCATTTTATTCTCAATAACTAAAAAATATACCTACTGGCAAATAGTTTAACAGAATTGTCACTTAATTAAATTTTTAAAAAATAATAGTAGCCGGGTGACATAAATATGAATTTAATTTTTTTGCAGTGTTCTTACCAAGCAGAAAGGATATGAAATATATTCATTCAGTTGAACGCAATGGAATACTTTTTTGTTTTGTAGTTTGTGCGTAGAATAGCTAATATCCATGTGAGTGTAGAAAATAGTAGTATTTCTACACCCACATGGATATTAGCTGATCTACACATCCATGGAATATTCCGTATATTTTTGACACATTGTTGAAAGGGTGTGAAACAAAACACACTAATAAAACTGGCGCTCAAGTGTTTCCGAGCTCAAGGCGTCATAAATACGAAGTAATTTTTTCTGAGTCGAGAAAACCATCTTGCAATTTAATAAAGCAAATTTATGTGGGATTTACTTTAGGTATCGTCTTAATACTTATACAGAATCTTTAACAATACCCGTATCCCACTGGACAAAATTGATGTCATCAGTTGGCTAAAAGTAACACTATATAATAATTTTAGTAGTAAACATTGAGATAGAATAAAGTAGAGACGACATAAACACTATTTTGCGAGAAGACATATGGACGCACTTAGCGATGCTAAGAATGACAGAAAACTGTAATTAAAATGACAACTTAGACAGAGTCGTACTTTGATTGATTTGAAGTCAGTAATTTTATATTTGAAGAAAAAAGTTAGAGTCCAAGAAAGGGAGAAGATGGCTGGCAGTATGAAACATTTCTTGCGAGAAAATCCAGTTTCCAACACTGAAACGATAGAGGAAGGTGAAAATACAGTTTCTGAAGCGGTGGCACCACCATCTTCTGCAACATGTGAACCATCAACATCATTATCACTTATCGAAAATATATTCTCTATAGAGTCGACCATCCCAACAAAGACGGTTACAAGTGACACTTCTGACGATGAAGTTTCTACTGAAGCGGTGATTGAGAATACTAGTATTCTTATATTAGAGGACCCCGGTTTATGGCCCAGAAGCATTACTAACGACGAAGTCAGTATATTGGTTGATCGTGGTCCTCCTTTGATAGGAAACAATTATCAATTTCCAGCTAATAAAGACAAAGACAAAATAAAACTAGGAAATGGAGAAGAAGCAAATAGAATTTGGCTCATTTACTCAGTTTCGAAAAAATGGATATTTTGTTTTTGTTGTAAAATTTTCAGTAAGACTTTCAATAGTTTTTCTGATATTCATGGTTTTTCTGATTGGCAACATGTGTCCTTAGCCATAAAAAGACATGAAACATCAATTGTACATAATGTTCACATGAATACATGGATGAATTTAAAAAATATATTAAAATTATCCACAACCGTAAACGATCATCACTTACGGGTTTTAGAATCTGAAAAAAATATTGGCATGACGTTCTGGAAAAAACTGTTGCAGTTATCAAATTTTTATCCAGACAATGTCTAGCGTTCCAAGGTTCTTCTAAAATACTTTTTGAATTTGATAATAGAAACTTCCTCAAAGCTCGAGATGATTTCCTCTTTTGATCCTGTGATGAGAGAGCACATTAGTCGAGTGCAAAACAAATTCTTTAAAAATGGCCCATTATTTAGGCTATCAGATACAAAACGAAATTATTGAATTGATGTGTTCTAAAGTAAAAAATAATATTTTGAATATGATTAGCAGTTCCAAATAGTATTCAATAATTTTAGACTGTACACCGGATACAAGTCATACAGAGCAAATAAGCCTTGTTTTGCGTTATGTCGTTCTAAATGACATTTCTAAAAAGGCTCAAATACAAGAGAGTTTCATAGCGTTGTGAAAATTTAAAACTTATTCCTTAACTGTACCTACAGGAATAGTATAAAACATGATTTTAGAGCACCTATGATTTATATGGGCATCACTACTGATATAAAATTATTATTACATTTTTATCAGAATCTAAACTAGCAAGATTGATATACTTACTTATATTATTGGAAAAGTAAATTATGATTAAAAAATTGTACAATAGATACATACATAGCATAATACAACTTAAATGGAATGAAAAAAAGCTTTAACATGATAATTTATTTATTTATAAAAATGTTTAAAACGAAAAAAAAAACTAAAGAAAATACATGAAATTTTAAATTAACACATTTAAAGTAATCAATGTCTGTTACTTGAAAGTGATTGAAATTTTGCATGCAAGCTTTTCTTATGCCGTGATAGTCGGTGTACAAAATCACCATGGTCAAAATCACGATAAGTCAGAATGAAAATGACTGCCTTCAGAAATTACGAACGGCCTATGAATCTTTGCAAGTAGTTTTTGATTTTGTTTTATATTCTGAAGTTGTTGCAGATATTTAAATAAACTTACTAAAAAAGTGAAGATCGCATTTTTACGTACGATCTCACTGATGCAATCGTACATCGTACAGAGGGTTAAAAAATCGTATAAATACGATTTAAATCGTACGGTTGGCAACACTGAGACAGGCGGTAGACGTGGACAGCAGTGGACAGTTTGTAAATAATTTCAGTTTTATGTCTATCGAAGAATCCTGAATTTAAATTTTAAATTTTGAGTTCATGATTGTGTTATCCTCTAGATGAACTAAGCGAAATAGTTGTGGCTGTTTTTGTGTGAAATTTAAGGACAATAATTATATTTTGTAATATTACAATAAGTCTGAGAACGTATTGCATTAGTAACACATGCCACATGAACAAAGTAGGTAAGATCTATTCATGTAGGGTGCCAGCCAAAAACCCCGGCGACCAAATCCCCGGGACCAAATCCTCGCGACCAAATCCCCGGGGACAAAATTCCCGACGACCAAACCCCCGGAAACAAGAATCCCGGTGGCAAAATCCCCGGGGATAAAATCCCTGACGTCACAAAATACCCGTGCCAAAAAACAATGCAAAAAAATCGAAAAATATTATTCCATTAAGTTTCAAAACATGATAAAGCATGCTTATGCCCGATATACTCAGCCTTTCACAAAACAATTTTCACGATTAGCCGCGCAAGATATTATTCTTGATGTAATAATATTCTCGTGTATTTTTCAACTGTTATATGTCGTATATCAACGAAAATAGAACATATACATAGCATAAATAATGCTCGCAGGTGAAACTGTAAGTAGGAAAAGAAAATTGTAAAAAATGGAAAATCGCTTTGTCGGTATTGGTGCAGGTTTTTGATTGCAACGACAAGTTATTGTTCCTCCATGGCGCTGCGCAAAATTTGCGATTATAATATTTCTTATTGTAATGTGTACATATTGTTTGTGTTAATTATCGAAATAAGATTTTTAGCTTTGTTATTAAGATAATTATTCATAAATTTGTATTTATGTTCGATATTGGAATTATGAGTTTGTTAGAATAAAATTTCTGAGTTGTGCCAGTTTATGGTATTTTATGCAATTAGTTTTGTGTATCCAAGGGGTTTTTTTACCGGGATATACACCGTGTCCCACGTAAAGCGGGCATTACAACTTTATGGAGAATAAATTAATTTGTATTTTCGCCATTTTCTGAGTATACATAATCGAATATGCTCTTTTGAATTAAAATAAAATGAACTCTGTGCAACTTCCGGTTATACCGGAAGTGACCACTAACTTCGTTATTTTAAAGGGAATACCCCATATTTTTTTTTAATTTTAGATTCAGCATGAAATTCTGTAAACAACGATACCCCATTTGCCTATTCTAGTTATAGCGGATTTGGCGTTATTCAATTTTTTTCTACATTTTTAGTCGCCGGTAGACATTTTCTTAAAGTCGTCTATCTCAGGTACTATATCTATCAGATACTTAAAATTTTAACCAGAGGTAGTAGATGGGATGTACTTCTTGAGAATATTTAGTTATTCATTATTTGTTGTACGGGGTGTTTGCAAATTATTTTTAAAAATGAAATTTTTTGAACATAAAAAACTTTTTTATTTTAAATTGAACACCCTATATATTTTTTAAATTTTAGATTCAGCATGAAATTCTGTAAACAATGATACCCCATTCGCCTATTCTAATTATAGTGTATTTGGCGTTATTCAGTTTTTTATAAACTTTTATATGCCGGCAGACATTTGCTTTTTTAAATTTACTTGTACATCGTTTGTTCGACTGTGTGTTTGGAAATTATTTTAAAAAATAAATATTTTAAACATGAAAATTTTTTTTATAATTTAAATTTTACGCATGCACCTACATAATATAGTATAGTTTTACATTTTAATTTTTTATCTTAGTATGCCGTGGAAATATGCTAAACAACAATCTGTGAACAAACTGAATTGTCATATTTCTATGTATTTAAGTTGTGTATTTTTTGCGTTCAAAATATGGAAAATATGGAAAATATTGAAGAATATACCAACCAAGATATTCTTAATTTATTTTACATTCATGGAGGATGTAATCGAATCAAAAGTAGAACCTGCCGCATGTTTAATGAACGATACCCTCATTTACCACCAATGAACAGACAGAAATTTGATAGAATCGAAGCTAACTTTTTGAATAATTTTAAACAAAACCCGGGAAGAAACCATCAACATTATGTCCGAGATGAAGAAGTTAATCTAATTAACGTACTAGGGTATTTTACTGCGTATCCTCACGCCTCCATTAGAATGGCTCAAGATAATTTAAATATTAGTCGAGGGTCAATACAACGAATTTTAGCACTAAATAAATGGCATCCCTATGCACAAAGAAAAGTTCATGAGTTGCGAGATGGTGATCAAATAAGACGAACTGAATTATGCGAATGGTTATTGGTACGAATTCAAGAAGATCCCGAGATTTTAAACAAAATTTTGTGGTCAGACGAGTCGAAATTTACACGTAAAGGGATCATCAATCGCAAGCAATGTCATTTCTGGGCAAACGAAAATCCACATTTTTATCGTGAAGCACAATTTCAGTACGAATTTAGTTTTAATGTGTTTATTTACATTTATAATGAAAGACTGACCTCAGAAAGATACATTAGAATTCTTAGAGAAGTAGTTGCCGACATTTTAAACCAGCTACCAAATAATAATTTTTTGGTACCAGTTGGATAGTGCCCCAGCACATTCAACATACTATGTAAATCAAGAAATTACAGCACTCTTTGAAGACCGATGGATAGGTCCAAATGGTCCTTGGCTTTGGCCTGCAAGATCGCCAGATCTAACTCCTGTTGATTTTTTTATGGGGTCATATTAAAAATTTAGTGTACTCTACCCAAATTAATACTAAAGAAGAATTAGAGCAAAGAGTTCGGAATGCCTTTAACGAGTTAGATGGTGAAATGATTCGTAAAGCAACAACTAATCATGTTGAAAAAAGATTGTTAAAATGTTTAGAAGCTAACGGGAGGCATTTTGAACATTTGATAAAATGATTTTTTTAAACCATGTGCTTTTAATAAAAATTGTTTTTAGTTAGTATGTAACTTATCATTAAAAAAATTTAAACTTTTTAAACGACATATTTTGTTGCAGAAAACTGTAAATGTTTTTAAAAGTACATCCCATCTACTACTTCTGGCTAAAATTTCAAGTATCCAACAGAAATAGTACCTGAGACAGTCGACTTTAAGAAAATGCCTACCGGCGCGACTACTAAAAATTAAAAAAAATGAATAACGCCAAATCAGCTATAATTAGAATAGGCAAATATGATATCATTGTTTACAGAATTTCATGCTGAATCCTAAATTTAAAAAATATATAGGGTGTTCCCTTTAAAATAAAAAAGTTTTTTATGTTTAAAAAATTTCATTTTTAAAAATAATTTGCAAACACCCCGTACAACAAATAATGAATAACTAAATATTCTCAAGAAGTACATCCCATCTACTACCTCTGGTTAAAATTTTAAGTATCTGATAGATATAGTACCTGAGATAGACGACTTTAAGAAAATGTCTACCGGCGACTAAAAATGTAGAAAAAAATTGAATAACGCCAAATCCGCTATAACTAGAATAGGCAAATGGGGCATCGTTGTTTACAGAATTTCATGCTGAATCTAAAATTAAAAAAAAATATGGGGTATTCCCTTTAAAATAACGAAGTTAGGGGTCACTTCCGGTATAACCGGAAGTTGCACAGAGTTCATTTTATTTTAATTCAAAAGAGCATATTCGATTATGTATACTCAGAAAATGGCGAAAATACAAATTAATTTATTCTCCATAAAGTTGTAATGCCCGCCTTACGTGGGACACGGTGTATTTGTATTCAAGGGATTTTTGTTTCAGAGGATTTTCTCGCCGGGGATTCTAGTTTCCGGGGATTTTGTCCCGGGGATTTTAGTTTCCGGGGATTTTGTCGCCGGGATTTTAGTTTCCGGTATGTAAGTAACACAAATAGTAATCAACTTTTGTTACAAAGTGGGTGTTTATGTATTATTTATTGTTTTAGAACAAGAAAGTGGCTTTAAAACGTTAGAAAGTAGATTTGATATAGGAAGAAAAATTTCTGAATTCCCATTATTGAATTTGCACTCAAGATTTTTTAATAAGATACCAAAATAAAAACAAAAATGCAGTGTTACAAATAACAATCAAAAATTAAAAAATATTTGTCATGAATATAGATTTAAAATAATTAATCGATAATAGACTGTAAGTGTACTATTCTTTTTAATAAATAATTTAGCGTAACTACATTGTTTGTGTTTATTTACAAGAACATGAGAGTGCAGTCGATATTTATGCAACCTTTATTATCAGGTTTTTAAATTTCCCGCTGCATTGTTTGATATCGATAAAAGCGCCACATAGTGGGTCAGATGTTAACTGCCATAAAGCTGGTCGTTGTTAAGCATTGGCTTCTTATGGGCGTTTCCTATCTTTATCTCCCTTATCTCTGCCTAAAACAATATCACCGACCTTTTTGACAGAACTGATACTTAAGTTGTCATAAAAGTCACTAATAACGGCCATTTTATTTAAATTTCTTGTTTTACCAGATCACGTGAGATACGAGTATTGTTGAGGACTTGGTATATTTACATATATTAATGAACTTACCCATTGTTTACTGATTCTTCTGTGGCACTTATAATTACACTAGGTGACTGAGTAAAAACATACGTAGAATTCTCGAGTATATCTACTGATATTACAGGAAACTTTTTCTGGAACAAATAACTTTCTACAAAATCCCTCAAAGGCTCGTCCTTAACTACCTGTTCCAACAATGCGATGAAATCGTTAGTAGTAACAGTACAATAAGCGTGCTTCTTTAAGAATTTTCTTATGATTGTTTGAAATGTCTCTTCGCCAATTAGATCTTCTAACATATAAAGGATGGCCGCACTCTAAAAATGAATTTAAAATTATTGGCGAATCTCTATAAAAATCATTCTGTAGGACTCATAGGTGCGCGTGGACTAAAATAGACATATTATGGTATATTCGGAAATACTGCCCCGCCAGGACCGAGAATACCGATCAAGGAGAAGCGACAACTTGGTGTTTTCAGTGTACCGTTTTGTAACGCGAAACTAAGTTGTGTATCCACATACTTTGATTACTATACGGGGCAAGAGAGAGGTCCGACACGCCCAACATAGGGCGCGGCCATTTTGGACCCTATGACAGTTTATAGCTAAAGAATCAGATCGCTCACTCTGCGTCGGCACTTTTGATCTCAATGTTCCAGTTTATATACTGCGCAACTCGAATAATACAATATATGACAACCGTCTATAATAAAACAGCAGTCTTCTGCGTATTCTGAATTTGTATCCCTGGAGTGGATGTTATTTTGGAACTTTCAACTGGTCCGACAGAGCTAACTGATTCTTTGGCAATAAACTGTGACTCCAAAAATAATATTCACTGACACTGACAGCAGCAAGCAAAATATCAGGTGCGTTTTAATAATCCGCTTCTGCTTCCGGAATTGTCGGTTTAGTCGTTTTAACCTGTCAGATTAAAACAAGAAAACCGACAATTCCGAAGCAGAAGCGGATGATTAAAACGCACCTATTAAAAATATTGCGCCAAGATTTAGGCAACACGTAATAAGGGTTGAAAATGGCGGAGTTTTCTATCTCCTTTTAAAAGGCACTCAGAAAGCGCCAGTGCGACCATTCTCCGTATAGTAAAAGAAAATCAAAGTATGTGTGTGTATCACTCAAAATTATGTTATCTGTCAAAGTCAGTCCAAGTTGTGTTTAGTACGTGAGCAATTTAAGTGATATTTTTTGGTGTTTGTTTTGTGTAGTAATAAGATGAAGATTTTTACACACTTAGGTATTCTAATACAGATATAAAATATGCCAAAAAAGTTATTAGGAAACTAAGAATTTTATCACATGCATAAATATTAAGTATAATGATTTAATCATTTTCGACAATTTATTTTTCATATGTAGGTATTGAATTTTGTGAAATATATGTTTTTCTTCTTATAAATAAATTTAATAAACAATGAACTGCAGATTTTGTTTATTTTATTTTGAAATTATATTTAAAAAAATATAATAAATTCGCGTGTTTCAATTAGGATTGGTCAAAGTGGGCGAAGTCCCTTTATTATGGCTAAATTGTAAGTTACAATTATGTCAATATAAAGATGTTTTGCCCATTCATATTTACATTTATTAAATGAATCATACTGGAGTTGATTTTGGAAATATTGGTGCATACTTAAATAAGTACTATTTCTAAAAATTCGTCTATGTACACATAGTCCAATGGACGTCCACTTTAGATCTATTTGAGGGTCAGGACGTCCGTATCCGGGCATCCAGTGTACGTCCGTTTATGCTAATTAAATTGACAGCTGAATTTCGATACCCAGAGAACGTCTCTTTTTGGACTTAATTTTAAGTTTAGTAGTATTTTGACGTCCATCTTAGGTCATTATTTATTAAGCCTACCAGATAATACCCATCTATACTTCTTTTTTTTAATATAACTGGTCATTAAAAATTGACAAATTGAATCTATTGCATTTCATTCTATCAGCGGAAGTTTGAAATCTTATTCAATTATAAGTGTATCTAGTAAAAAGTTTATAAGTGGTTCCTTGGTCGAGCTCGTCTAGCGATTGAAAGCGTAAAACGATAATGGATGTGTAGTGAGGTCGATTCCTGCTCAGGTCAAGCAATTTTTAATAAAAAATAAATAAATGGTGTATAGCGCTTTGCGAAAATAATAAACAAATTATTAATAATATAAAATAGTGTTTGGTGAGTTGCGGTTCTGTAAAAAAAAAATGGGGATGTGGTCTCAATGGAAATATAATCCTGGACGTTTTTTGCATGTCCAGTATTCGACGTCCAAATATATTCCAGAATTGGACGTACTCTGAATGGTCAAAAGTGTGCCATTTGTATACTTCACTGGACGTCCATTGGATGTCGGAAGTCCAGAAAACTCATTTTTGGACGTCTAGACATCCAAAATTGTATATCGAATGGACGTCCAATGGACATATTTGTATTGTCTGGGTGATAGCCAGGCCAGGTATTTAACTCTAAATACATAATAAACCTTAAATGACATCTCGTTTAACTTGGCGAGAAAACATTTGTTTCTACAGAAATGAGTGATAAACTTGAAAGTCCTTTTAATATAATATAAATCTAGAAATTCTAAAAATATGTAAGTACTTTAAAAACCTAAAATCTTTGAAAATATATGCACATTGCAAATATTTAGTTAAACCTCTCAAACTTAATAGAGAGTTATTGCAAGTTCACTTAAGGTCAGTCACTATTAGTGCCGCTCTTATTTTGACATCTAAGCATGCGCAGATCACTAACTTTAATAAAGATTGTGCCTGTCCTTGATAGAGAGATATTGCAAATTTCTATAAAGCCAGCCACTAATAGTGACATCGTAATTAGAGTCAAATAAATTCTATAATAGTACCTACTATTAAAGAGGCATTAGAAATTATAATTTTGGAAGGTTTAAATGACGAGCGCATCCGAAAGCTATAAAGTCGCCACTATCTGCTGCCCTTAAACATCCACAATTAAGGACAGGCACAATCCTTAATAAAGTCAGTTTTAGAACATAAACATCTGCGCATGCTTAGATGTCAAAATAAGAGCAGCACTAATAGTGACTGACCCTAAGTGAACTTGCAATAACTCTCTTATTAAGGACAAGCACAATATTTATTAAAGTTAGTGATCTACGCATGCTCAGATGTCAAAATAAGAGCGGCACTAATAGTGACTGACCTTAAGTGAACTTGCAATAACTCTCTAATGTCTTTTTAATTGTTACCTAATTTTTTTTTGGCACCCTTAATTTTATTTACCTTATTTTTACTTAAGGAAAAGGTAATTTAATTTAAATATGGGGCTTTTATTACATTTTTAACAATTAATAAACCAAATATTGAACAAATTTTATAGATAAATTATAAAATAATAAACGTCTTTTTTTTACTACTAACATGAGAAATCACCATTATTTACTCCATTCCTCTAATGAGAAGTAATATTTCTCTCCCTAGGTAAATAATGATAATAAAAAAAAACCTAGGTAAATAATGAAACTAAATTTCATTAGTTTCATTTTGTTAATTTGACAACTAAACTCCCAGACTACTTGATATTTTGAAATATTTGAAAAATAAGTAGGAAATAACTAAAGCTGGGTTTATCAAATCTAATCAAATCAAATATGATAATATATATCAGTGTAAACAGTAAAAATATATATTAACTAGGAAATTCAACACCGGCTTTAAAAATTATTAATTAATAACAATAAATCCATGTCATTAAAATATCAAAAATGCAATGGGATATTTCCTAGAATCATACCAAAATTTGACACATGCCAAATTTTTACATAAATAAAGCCAGTCTGATTAGAAACACGCTCCAGTCTGCTTGATATTTCGAAATATTTAACAAATTGTTAGGAAATTACTTATGTCAAAATTAAAATTGCTAATACATTAATGTTAGTAGTAAAAAAAATTCTATATATACCTCGGCTGAGAAAGCTATTATTTACCTCGCACATTATATCCCTCGGCGCTACGCGCCTCAGGATATAAAAGTGCTCGGTAAATAATAGCTCACTTCTCACCCTAGGTATATAATGTACTATTACTTTTATAACAAATAATTAATTATTACATAATGAATTATATTTTGGTGCCGAAATTTCACCATTGCTATTAACCCTAACTACTTCAATGTAATTAAATCACATTGCAACATTTGCGCATGGACTATAATAATAATAATTTCAGATAATTTGCCAAACTATTTCGCTCAGTGTAGAAAATAAGCATGTTTTCTCAGCGTGCTAAGTTGTGTATCAATCAAAGTCATGCTGTGAAAAAGGTACATCCGATATCAAAGGCACCGACAGCTACTGTCGCTTCTCCTTGATCGGTATTCTCGGGCCAGGATTTGAACGCGGTCGCTGGCCAGTGCTGGGATCACGACACTCGATTTGGGCTACTCGACCTCGATTATTCGACTGAAATGTTTAAAATGTATTCATGACATTCGAATAATCGTCTCGATTCGATCGCATTTTCTCGACTGCTTAGAAGGTGTAGAGTAGTGCAATTTTGAGGTTAAGTTTAAGAAATAAAAACAAAAATGCTTTCTATTGTTCAACAAGTGTTATTGGAAAGACAATGTCGATGAGAAAATTTGGCCTTATTAAGAGAAAGACGTTTGTTACGACGGAATAGCGCCTTTTCTTCTTGTGGATAGACGTTTTATTGAATTATTTCACTTCAATAAAGCGTTGATAGACACTTTACGACCTCATCTACACCAAAGACAGGATTTTAGGGGCATATCAATTGATTATATGGTTTTATGTGCCACAATTTTTTTGTAGTTTTGCTATCGGCAGGCATAAATGTTCCAGAGCAAGTTCCGGATAATTTTCAAAAAAACAACATGATTTCCCAGTGTTTTTCATTGGACATCTTACTAATACAATATTTAATCTAGGCTTTTTACTTTATTACAACAATTTACAATCACTGGGTAATGCGTAGTAGCGTAGTTAGTAATGCCAATGCCACCCATAGAAAAAAGATGCCACCGAACCTCAATAAAACGAAAAACGAACACGTAATCAATGCAGTCACAGGACACATAACGAATAACGACATAACGCAACCACAGAACATAACGCCATTGACACAGGACATTACATTTGTCTTGGTAGTAGCTCAAATGACTTCAAAAACCGACAATAAACGAAAATCAACTCGATCGAGTTTCATGAATCATTTTTCGAATTGCGGTCGAGTCGAACGTCGAATTGTACGATTAAGTCGAATCGAGTGTCGTGATCCCTATGCAGGTCTCAAAAG